GCCATCAAAACAATAACAGAGAGCCTGCTCCGGCTGCGCACACCATACGCTCGCCTCTGCCACGGTAGCCAGATTTACGATTGGATCAGGACGCTGCGCGATTGCGACAAGGGTGGGCCATAACTTACGTAGGTGGATCTTCCGCGTATAAATCATCGGAGTGCGGAGAGTGAGGGGGCAGAGGGACGCCTTTCCTCGATGCCTTTCGAGGGAGTGAAAATAAAAAGAATCGAAAATACGCGGAGGGGAGGAGTCGGTTAAGGTTAAGGAGCCTCGTTTCCTTTTCGTTCTTTTCGTTCTTTCGTCATTTTCCTCGGCCCTCGCCTTTCTTCTTCTTCTTCTTCTTCTTCCCGCAACAGCCTCCGTTGTCGCAAGAGAAAGCACGTGCTGCACACGCACAGCTGACGCTCCTCCCGTCAAATGCAACTAATGCGCCCCTTGATCTCGCGGCGCGTTCCTCTCTCGCCAGCGAGGGGAAAAGAAGGGAGGAAAGGAAAGGAGAAAGGGTGGACGATTTTAAAAAACGCTTTTGATTCACGCTTTGAACTTCACTTTCGTGCCTCGACCTCGTTTTCGAGAAGAGATCGCGGTTAATCGGAACGGATTCGGATTATTTCGTGAAAGGATGCTTTTTATTTATATAAAACCGATATCTTTCTATATTTTACCTCGTTTTCTCGCCAGGTTTAATATCGACCAGTTCCCTTTCTCGATGTTTTCTCTTCGAGCGAATTTGTATAAAAAATGAAACGAGACGATAGGAAATTTTTGGGGAAGGACAAAGTTGTCGAATAGGATCGACTCGCCGATTAATTTCAACTCTCTAATTATTTAGCGACCCGTTTTTCCACGCGTTTGCGATCCAAAGAGTGAGACGTTGTGCTGGTAATGGGATTATTAACGGGGTAAGTTTAAGGGAAATTTTTCCTCTCTTTCTGTCGATTAATAATCGAGTATTCCGGCGCGAAGAAGAGCAGAAGAAGGCTGAGCGGGAAGATGCTCGCGATGCATCAACGTTGGGACACCGATGTTTCGAACATTTAAGGAACAGGATGAGCTGGGTGGATCATTTTTACGATAGCCACGGTACGAGGAGAAGGAAAAAGGGGGTAAACTATCAGCTGGCAAGCAGGTCCAACTTCTCGTATTTCCTCGTCCAATTATCTCGTCCCTCCCTTCCGTGGAGAAGAAATGTCCCGGTAGAGAAAGAATCCGGCCATCCATTACGATGTTCCTCCTCCATTTTCTTCCATCCATCCCTTTGTCCTCTCTCTTTTGTGGATGGACGCGGCTCGAAAGGCGTGGATCGAACGATTGTCCTCGAGGAATTGCGAGGAAATAAACGACTGTCGATAAACTTTTTAACGAATCCCTTTTGACGAGCAACACTCGCGAAACACTCGATTCCCGCCAATTTCTCCTTTTCTTTCGAGCACCCTCCCTCTCATCGCCACCAACGATTCCTCTCCAGACGTTGCCTCGTCGTTATCCCGAAACGAAACATCGATGTTTTCGAACGAAAGAGGATGTCTCGAAAGTGTCTCCCTCTGGGAATCGATTAATCGATTATTATTTTCGATCTTCGAGCGTTCGTCGTGACGATCAATTTTGGACGAGGTTTTTCGGTGTAATTGTTCCTGTGGTCACATTTAGATAGGGTGTGCCATTTTTCTTCAACCTTCCCCATTTCATTCCGCTCTCATCCACCCTTTCGTTTCCCTTTTTCTTTCGAGATAAACTAGCGTGGATCATGGATCAACGAGCTGGGCACGCGAACCAGATTCCTTCTATGAAATTATCTCCTGTCCAAAAGGAGAAGGGAAGGGTCCGGTTTCGAGGAGGAGAGGAGGAAAGGGGTTGGCGCGCCCCTCCTGTTGTACGGCAGACTTGCGTATAATAATAATAATAATAAAGTGGTGGTAGGGCGATGACGCGTCATTAGCGATAACCTTTGTTTCGAGCAAAAGTTTACTACCTGAGTAGTAAGCTGAAAACGGGATCTCGATAGGATCTCCTTTCGCCGGGGCGTTTTCCCTCGTGAAAGGATGGAAGCGATTAAGGAAAGGGCCCTTTCACCGCCGTCATTTATTATTCCTCCGAAGAAGAAAATCCTGATAATGACTAATCCTTTATTAGCCTTGGTACAATATCTCAACGATAATATCCTCGATGGAGCGTTTCCCCTAGACTCTGCGACTCGCAGAGATTAAACATCCTCCTTTCTCCGATGTCCATTTTATTACGCATAAATATTTAAAGAAAACTCCTACTCCTCGAGTATTATTATATCCTCGAAATACTCGGGCTGGTATCGATTCCAAGATTCCCTTCTCCCCTCCTCGGTTGCGTTTTCCAGCTTTTTCCACCCGGTTATTTGCTCCAAGGGAAAATTGTTCGCCGTTCCATGTACATCCTTTGAGATGGAAAAACAGCGGACGACGGAACGCGGCGAGCGGAAGAGTTTTTCGTGCCCACTTTATGAACCTGTTGTTAGGTGGGCAAATCTCGCTGACAAAGGAACCTTTGTGAAACGGGGATGATACCTCTCCCGTATAATGCTAAATCGTCTTCCCATCCCCTTCTTCGTTCGCGGTCTCGTGATCGCGTTATCATCGATACATCCGCCGCGTATTTTTTAATTAAGAACGTGCGAGAGGAAAGGAAAGGAAACAGCAGACGAGAGGGAACCGAAAAACGGATCACACGCGTGATATACGTGGCCACCGTGGATATCGAAGACTACGATTCCCTTTTTCCCTCATTCATCGATTCTTCCGCCCGAACAGCGTCTTTCAAGTCTATTTAGAACCGCTCTTTTGGGTTAAATGATAAAGCTCGAAAGTCGAGCTTTCATTTGACACGGTTTGTACCCGTGTGAGAGAGAGAGAGAGAGAGAGCACGCTGTTCAATTGTTCGGTGATTCGAGCACCGTTGCGTTTAATCCCTCCCTGGCTACGGTTTACACAAAGAATTTTTCTTCACGGAACCGGGGAAGAGGAGCAGGAGGAGGAGGAGGAGCAGCAGTTGCCGCTCGCTCGGAAACGAAGAGAGAGAGAGAGAGAGAGAGAGAGAGAGAGAGAGAGAGAGAGAGAGAGAGAGAGAGAGTTTTAGTTTCGCGTTTCGTTCCTGTTGTTCGTTTTTTCGCCTTTTCCAAACGGCCAAACCTCGTTTAATCCGCCCCGTCTTCCTTTCCCTTCCTTTCGACTGCCTCTCTTCTCTCCCGAGCTTCTACATCATCTTCGAATTAATTGGATTTCCTTTTCCCGTCGTTGCGCCGGACCTGGGCCAACCTGCTCGATTAAATCGCTCGGAAAAATGAGCTAATTCGAGGAGAGGCGGATTCAACGCCGACTATTTTTACAGGGAAATCCTCGCCCCCCCCCTCCCGTCGAAGGAAAATATTATTCAAGGAGATCTCGCTCCTCTCTTTCGAATTCGAATTCGGGGGAATCGTTCAATATTATCGTCAAATATTAACGTTTAAAATGTACGCGTTAGATTAGGTCAGATCAGAACAGAAGAGAACGGCCCTTATTGTGTTTCCATTATAAATGTTGTTCATCGAGCAATCTGTATCTAAATCTTCGGTTGACACGATTTCCATCGCGTGTCCCCGTGCGTTGAATCGCAGGGAACTTGTTACTTTGTACTCGGTCAAGAGGATCGACGATACTAGGACGTGCCTCCTGATTTTATATATATATATATATATATATATATATATGTATGTATGTATGTATCGCGTCTCGTTGACAGAGCGCGCCTTTCTCTACTTTCTTTCCCTTTAACGTTCTCTGTTCTTCGACCGAACGAGTTGATTTCTATTGAAACGGTTGGCGGGTCGTCCCGATCGTATATCGGATCCGGTCTCGTTCTCACTCGCGTGGAAGAAAAATATGGAACGGGCGAGAAAAAAGGAAGAAGAAAAATCGAAGGAGAAGGATAACGAAAACGAGTAACGAAAGATAGAAACAATAACAGCAGTGGCAACCAGTCAGTATTATGTCACAATGTGCTGAAGAAAGTTTTTTTTCCATACAGAGTAATCGAGACGAATTCTTATCTTATCTTATCTTATCTTATCGCTTCATAAAATTCTATATACACCTTATAAAGCAATCGGTATATTTCACTTTTCCAAAATATCTAATCCATCTATAATTATAAAAAATTGTACGTATCCTAATAATAATAATAATAATGAAAATGAACAAGAAAATTTGAAGCAACCAATCCGTATTCCGATTCATTTTTGCCCATCGTTCATTCGGAATTCATCCATCACGTTATCTTTTTTTTCCAACGGTACGGTTACGACTTAGTTAATCGAAATCGACCGACCGACGGATATATAATAAGCCGTTGTCAATTACCGTGTATCAATTTATACACGGCGGAGTTTTATTCCTCGATGATTGACAGTTGCCGGCTGCCCTGTCGGATTCGCGTGTACGGAGTGGAAAATCGGGAAGGGAGGAGGAATGGACAAAAAAGGAGGGGGGAGGGGAACGACGGGACGGTTACGAGTCACGTCAAATACGAGCGAAACGGGCAACGGAATTGCAAAAGGATAACGTACGCGCGGCTTTCCTTTCTCCCCTTAGGCGTTCACCGCCTAAAAGTCTGGGCCCCGTGAAACGATTTCGCGTCACGAGCAGAAATTTTTTTCTATTCGCTCTAAGTTAAGTTCTGCACAAGTTCCGTGACGAGCGCTTTTTTTCCTCTCTCCCTTTTCTCCCCGGCTATTGTTTTTATACGTTTTTACGCCGGCCGACGCGACGGCAGAGCTAACCCGAGCGCGATAGGTAGGTTAGGTAGCTGTTTTATCGGTCGACACTCCACAACGGATATTTCGATGAGGATCGCGCGATACATCATATCGCGTGTTAGTTTTTTTTCGAAAGAGAAATGAATACAGGGGATTCGTAATATTTTTACGTCGAGCGACACGCTTCTATTTTTTTGAAATATAAAAGGACGCGGCTTAGGCATGCGCTTACCAGAGTCGAAAGTCACCTCGCTGATCATAATCCATCTGTCCGAGAAATGAAGCCTCAGTTTCACGTATTTACCGACACGGTGGTGGAGCTTGATGGTGATGTTTCGCGACGATTCAAAGATCTTGTCCTCCATGTACGTGTAGGTAATCGGCTCCCCTGTGTAATACTTGCCTCCAATGCTGAACAGTATGTCGATTTGGGAAAATATCTGGAACAACAAGGTTTCGATAATTTTCATTAGTAGAAATGTAATATAACAGATATACTACATACATATATATAACATATAAGGGATAAACGTTTATCGAGGTTTCAGATGAAAGAGAGGTGAAATATTTTTCGGATTTTTTGGTTTTTATTCAACGTGTAAAAGTGTAGGATAAGCCTTCTTCGTTCCAAGGGAGGGGAATAGTTTTGAAAAGGGCAGATCCTGAGATATCGGAGACACCTTGGTTGATTTGGCAGCGTAGTTTGGTTACGGATTTGAGAGGCGTCCTCGTGATTTACGACTCGGCAAAAAAATAAATGGTTGAAATATAAATTCAAGTTAATGGAAAACGAAACACAACTTTTATATATATATATATATATACGTATAAAGAACTAGCCTCGAGAGGAGGACATATTCGTACACGAATCCACATGGAATCCACCGTCGAATCCACCGAATCACGAAAGAAGAAACGAAAATGGATCTCTCTCGTACCAACTCGTTTCTCTTCCTATTCCTATATATAGTAGTAAGGGAAATAAAATATCTGCATATTAGAAGGAGCAGCCGGGAATGAAACAAAGATCCATTTCTATCAGGGTAATCTCGGGAGGAGATTGATCACCTGGTGGCCTTAAAAAACGCATTGGAAACCTAAATAAGCCTGCGAATATAGACGAAATAAAACAGACGTAGACGAAGCGGGACGTTGATGGATAGGGGAGAACCCGCTCTCGCCGAACAAGATTTAGGAACAAAGTAAAATACGATCCTTTCCGGGGCGCGAAAAGCGGGGGGAGGAAAAGGAGGGGGGGAAACGAAACTACGTACGACTTTTGAGAACGTTATAAAAGTTTAATACGTGTCTCAAGTTCGATAGGGTATATGATCTGATCGTAAATCATAAAGGGATATATTATCCGAGATCGCAAAAAGCTTTGCTTAGCTTCAGCTCTGTATCGCATCTGTATATAGCAGGGTGTACGATCTTGCGTTCTCTCCCCTTTCTTTCTTTCTTTCTTTCTTTCTTTCTTCCTTTTTTTTCTCTCGCACGTAAAAAATGGAAGATGAAAATTGAAGCTATATCGAAAGGAATAAAAGAACTGCAACAGCCATTGAATTTCACGTTGACAAAAATGTCAAGCCAAAAAAAAAAAAAAAAAAAAAAAAAATAACGAGCGAAAGAGGACAAATTGAATTTTCGATGGAAACGGCCTGTCGACCGATAAAAATCCAAAGTGGATAATAATACGAATAGATTGCGTTCGTGCATAAGAGAGAGAGAGAGAGAGAGAGGCAGAAGCGGTAATTGGAGATTTGGTTAATTTCCAATTGAAAAATTTATGGAACAATATAACTCGGTTATGGAAAAATGTATGGCGAGGGGGTGAAAAATAGGTCAGGAGTTAAAAATTAATGTTTCGAGGGTTACGATATCGAGAGATTCGTAGGCGTTTTAATTAACTCGTTCTTTCTCGCGTTGATCTTTCTGACGTCGATCCTCCGATGTGGGTCATTTCTTTAACCCAAGCATCGTTTAATCTTAAACCGCTTAATTCGTAATTTATACGAATACCGGACACGCGTCATCGCGTGAGAATCTGCGAGTGCATCGTACGAAACGCAGGATAGAAATTGAGACGGAGATTAAGGACTCGACCCGAGGAACTTTTTGCAAAGATATAGATGATATATCAATTAAGAGGCGAGTGTTGCGATGCGAAACGATTCTAAAACCGCGAATCGTATCGCTCTGGACGCAAGTTGCACTCGAACGAGTGTCAACCACTTAACTCATTAATTTACGGCCGCCAACTGTACAAACAGCAGGCGACTACTACGTTCCGTTCCCTAAGCCTCGAGAACACGAGAAGATGGCAAGCAGAAAAAACCGTTTCCCTTCCATCCCCATTTATACCTCGCTTTGCGCGTATTTTCGTAATTTTCGAACAAGCGAAACGTTATAACAAACATTGACAAAACGACAATTCTCAACGCGATTTCAAAAGAATCAAGTGTAATAACTTCTTCAACTATGAGGCGCGGAACAGAAACAGAAGGGGAATCTTCGAGAAACAAAGGAAAATCCTCGAAAATACCCGGTTCACTTAGCCGATCGAATTATCCGTGGGAAAGAAGGCAGCTCTGAATGGGTGGAAGTCGATAACGCGATTGTCACAACCGCGGATCCAACATCTGGATCGGCTCCCGAATATTTCGTTATCGTAATTCGCGTCACGTAAATCCAATTACCGAAAGATTCGTTTCAGGGGACCGAAACGACGACGGCAGGGAGGGAATAAAGAAGGGGAGGGGAGGCGTTTATCCGCTATCGATATCGATACATTCCGTATCCGCCGCCGGTTGATCGTCACGAAACTCCCTCCTTCTTTGTTGGTGGGGATGACGAAGGTCCATCCAAGGCCTCCCGCGTATTTCAATCGAAACTCGGCGAGAGACGAGCGCTGGAAAAGCGCGCGCGTCAAGAGACGCGAAGACGGAAGCCGGGAGCGGTTTATCCGATATAATATACCGGAAGAAGCGCGATAACTGATCTGGAAGTAAATCTCTTTTCTTTTTTTCTTTAACGGTTCAACGGAGGTTGAAAATGGAGAAGGTTGGCCGAACGGAACGAGCTCTTTTTTCCTTCCCCTGGAAATGGTTTCCGTGTGTCTCTCGCGCAAACACAGGGATTCGCTGCTCAAAGAGCAACATTATTTCGTTCCATCGATCTTTTTCTTGCGTGTATACACGATTTGTTTCAATTTCGCCGTCTGGTATCGGATCGATTCTTCCCATTCTTTCGCGGTTTTTCCCCATTTGCGGCTCGGTTAGTCTCTCCACTCGTGCGCGCAACTCGATCTTTGCGCCGTTCGGAACCTCCCTCTCCCGTTTGGGGGAGGTTGTTCCAATAGACACGTCGATAGGATTTACTTTCGAAATTGTTAATAGTTGGCAATCGAGAGACGATTCACTTCGGATCGATCCGGCGACAAGTTATTTATTTACGTTCGATTCTTTTAGAATATCGAATAAATTCACGCGTGACAATTACGATAAGATATTAAAATATAAAAGTTTTATACGTTAAATCATTGGTTTAATCTCCAATTGTTGGTTCAGTCAGAGATTTTGATTCTCGCTAATATTTTCTGCATGAAAAGATAAACCAGTCAAGTCGAAGGTCTAAAATTATCATAAGAGGGGAAATAAAATTGTATCATTAATTTCGTTTAACTTAAGCATTACCAATTGATTGCCAATCATTACAAAACGATTTGACAAATTATCAATCCTGTCGAATAATAAATATCCCACGCTTTTACACGCTCAATTACTCGCCGAGGTTATACACGGGTCGCACGAGTCGCGAGTAGAAATAGTCCCATATTGCAACGAACGTTAATCATCCCGTTTTAACGTCCCGTTACACGCGGTACGTTTTTTTAAAAAGTCATGAAAGGCCGGGATTCGATTCGGTCCCGCGGCGAAGCAGCCCGACTCTGGGTGGAGCGCGCGCGGCTCATTTCGGCCATTAGCTTCGGTCGTCGGGTCTTATGCATTATGCGAGATAGAGAGGGGTCTGGCTTCCGTTCCGTGGGCCCTCCGCGTCAAAGGGAAGCCCGGCGAAATTGAAATGGAGATCCGGTAGGAAAGAGCATTCGTAAACAAAATTGACACGAGGCGAGAGGGAGGGGGAAGGGTGCATCCGAGGTGCGGAGGGTGGTGGGTGTGCGCAATCACGGAAATTTATGCACTTTGACGGAGGGATCGTGGAATCCTGGTGAACGGCGGAAAAAGGTGGAGGGAGGGACTCGCGTCGTTGCACGTAGCCGAGGAAAAGTATTTGCACACCGTCAGACGACGAGAGATCTTATCGCGAGTCTCCTCGTTTTCGTTTCTCCTCCAACTCGAATGAGCAAATTGACTCGTCTCGATCGTTACGTTTATTAAATTGCTGCGTCAAACATTCCCCGTACACGGGAGAAAATTACAAAGCGATCTCTCGAGATTCGGCCATCTTTGAAAATCGGGCGATTCTCGCCACTCGCCATTCCAAGATCAGGGACTTGGAACGAGATTTTCGACGATTGTGGGATGAAAAGGCGACTGAAAGTATTACGAAGCGATCTCTCGTGTCTGAGATTCGGCCATCTTTGAAAATCGTGTGTGCGATTCTCGCCATTGTTAAGACGAGATTTCGAAGATTAGAGATTTGTCTCGAACTTGAAACGAGATTTTGAACGATTGTGGGATGAAAAGGCGATTGAAAGTATTACAAAGCGATCTCTCGTATTTGAGATTCGGCCATCTTTGAAAATCGTGTGTGCGATTCTCGCCACTCGCCATTCCAAGATCAGGGACTTGGAACGAGATTTTGGGCGATTGTGGGATGAAAAGGCGACTGAAAGTATTACGAAGCGATCTCTCGTATTTGAGATTCGGCCATCTTTGAAAATCGTGTGTGCGATTCTCGCCATTGTTAAGACGAGATTTCGAAGATTAGAGATTTGTCTCGAACTTGAAACGAGATTTTGAACGATTGTGGGATGAAAAGGCGATTGAAAGTATTACAAAGCGATCTCTCGTATTTGAGATTCGGCCATCTTTGAAAATCGTGTGTGCGATTCTCGCCACTCGCCATTCCAAGATCAGGGACTTGGAACGAGATTTTGGGCGATTGTGGGATGAAAAGGCGACTGAAAGTATTACGAAGCGATCTCTCGTATTTGAGATTCGGCCATCTTTGAAAATCGTGTGTGCGATTCTCGCCATTGTTAAGACGAGATTTCGAAGATTAGAGATTTGTCTCGAACTTGAAACGAGATTTTGGACGATTGTGGGATGAAAAGGCGACTGAAAGTATTACGAAGCGATCTCTCGTGTCTGAGATTCGGCCATCTTTGAAAATCGTGTATGCGATTCTCGCTATTGTTAAGACGAGATTTCGAAGATTAGAGATTTGTCTCGAACTTGAAACGAGATTTTGGACGATT